CATATATAGACATACAATTTATGCACCTAGTCGAACTAATCGTTATAATGCTCGTGGTTTTCCAACTATAACTGATGCTATTGAAGATCGTAATATAACTAATATTCAACAACAAATATCTATTGTTACATATTTTATTCATTCGGCAATTAGTGTTCTGCAACCTCCGAATAAAATTCAATCAATATTATAAACATTTTTTTTATTCGATTTCTTTGTACAAATACAATATATGACTTTCAAAAGTTATAAAATAGATCAAATAATTTTAAATTGTTTGTATGTCTGTTAATGATTTTTGTTGTGTTTCGGAAGATGATCGTTCTAATGTTATTCGATTCGAAGTTTTCGATGAATTAATTGTTGTTATCATACTCACTGGTGTATCTTGTCGATTTTTCTTACGAAATATTTTTGATATTTGATATTTTATTTGATTAAGATAAAGTTGATATTGATTTAAACTGATTTCTTTCGATGTTTGATAATTTGAACGAAAAAATTGAAGAAATTTGTTAAATAAACCACGATATAATGCGACAACACGACGATTACATACATAAACAACAAAAATAAATAAGCCCGGTGTTGCATTAAGAAGAATAAATAAATATTTAAATATTGTAACAAGAACATGTTGAAAACCTGTTGGACTATCAGGTAAAGCAAATAAAATAAAACCAATTGTCCAACCAAAACCAGCTAATACAGCCATACGCATATAAATTTTAACATCATATTCACCGGGTACAACTTGTTTTTTTCGTTGAAATTTACGTTCAACTTGTACTCGAACTAAATAATATAATTTATTTAATAAAAACAAAAAAAAAACACGTTTTTTACCGGATTTTAAACCTCGACGAATACTTCGAACAGTTAATGCATAAAATATAAAATTAATAATGAGAATAATTGCTACAGGAACACCGAATAATAAAAAACGCATCAAAGCTGATTCAATCCAACAACCTAAACCAAAAAAATACTACATCAAATAAGCATTTTCTATATCAATTACCTTGTAAAGGCGCATCATTTTTTGTATGAAAACAAACATCATAACATCCACGAAAAAATCTTCCATAACAAGGTTTTAATGTTGCATTTCTTGCATCAAGTATAATACCAATTAAAACAATAAGTACAGGCATACCCCATGCATATAAAGCATAATAGGGTAGACGTTCTCGAATTTCACAAACATAAAGTGAAAAACCTTTATGAAAAGTTTTCCATAGATCAAAAGCCATAACATTCATCCAAAAAAAACTTGCCAAAAAGAAAAAATGTATACCCAATGCAAATAATAAACAAACACCTGGTCTTGTCATTATTAATAAACTTTGTGATAGAAATAATATTTCAGCTACCATTAAAGCAATAATTAAATTCATTGTATTACATCCAGGTAAATTACGTAATGAAGAAAATAATATAAATGTTATTAATGTTATACCTAATGCACATATAGAAAGAAATATTGCTATAGTTGAGAGAAATCCAGGTGCTTTATCAAGAAAACCAAGTTTTTTTCCATGTGTTGTTCCATTATGTGTATCATGTTTACATACAACAACATATAAATCTGATCGATATTCATCAAAACGATATTCTCGATTGGTATACAAACGACCAGTACGTTTAATTCGAATTGAATGATTTTGATATTGAGTTACTTCACAAAGAGCGATACGCATAACTAAACTATCTGGACAACGATCAACTATTCGAGGTTGACGTATACAAACATATACTAATTTTGCTGATGTAGAATTTGCTGATGAAGGTTTTGCAACAACTTCAGACTAAATATTTAAGCGTAAAAATTTATATATATTTGAATTAAATTAAATATTAGTACCCTCTGAGATTGTTGTGTTAATGTTGAAACTATAAATGAATAAGTAAAATCTCCACCTTCAAATGTTGTTTCAAGTTCAGGTACATCGACAACATAATCAATTTCTCCTGATAATCGAATACGTCTACGTATAACACCATTTCTTGCTAGATATAATACATCAGGATCATCACAAAATTCTTGTCGAGTTTTATTTTTATCTGAGACGATTGATAATGTTTCAACTGCAAATGAATATTTTTCACATAAATCAATTAGTGCATGACGTTCTGATGCAAGTAATAGAAGAGTTACAACATGTAAACCAGTTAATGCATCTGTTGATGTTTCATCTCGATCAGCAATTGAAAAATGAAATTTTAAAACTATTGATTTATTATTATTGAGTTGATTAATAGTATAATCAAGGGATGGTGAATTTACTGGAATAACAGATGTACTATTATTTTTTCCAATAGCTCTACTTGTCGCTGAGATTGGCAAATCTTCATCATTATCATCATCCTCATCATCGTCATCATCATTATCTTCAATACTGTATCGAACATTAATAATACGTTCAAAGGTAATTCCGAGATAACCTAAACAGATATAAGATATGTGAAGTTATTCTAAATTATATATGGGAGACATTTGCATATTGTACCAGCTGAATTTCAATGTCATTTTATTCTAATCAATAGTATAAATCTCATCATCTGATAATATCTGAGAACAAAATTCATGGAAGTCTCAAGGATTTTTCAATGAAAGAAATTAGACGAATCAGAGACAATATTTAATAATTAAGTGCTTTGTTTTGTATACTTATATATCACATTATGTAGTTCGTTACGCTAGTTCGATAGATAGAATCTGAGAAAATTCGGATTGACTAGATATGACAAACTGACTCGTCACTCGTTTATTCGTTTCAATCCTTTCCTATCTAGACATATGCTTATTTTCACATAGTTAAAACATATTGTATACTACTATCAATGAATATCATATAAGAAATCTGTATAGATTGTTCACATAACAAACTTACTGTGAAGTGTTTCATGAAACATTTTCGACCAATCATTAGTACAAGTTTCATTCATTCGACTATTGAGATATACAGAAAAATTCGCACTTGTATTTTCATCACGATAAGTTCGTGAAAGAACAACGGTTAATGCTAAATCAATATCACTCATTCGTTTGTAACCAGTGGTATCATTTTTACTTCCATCTGGTATACATGTAGTTCCATTAAATTTATGATTCAATTCTTGACAATAAATATCACGACATCGTCCAGTAGCTGGGTCAAACAATTGACCATATTTACAAAGTCCATTATCCAAGTAGACAATTTGCGATCCTATACAAAAAAAAGAAATACAAATATTAACATTCAACTCAATCTTCTTCTACTACCTTGCATAATTTGAAATGATGTTGTTCCATCATTTTTAAAATTCATAAGCAATGTAAGAGATTGAGGTACACTAGCACGATTTCGACTTTGTTTTAATTTCGATTGATTAGTAGTACTTGCAGAATTAATTTCAGTTAATTCATTTGTGGAGATAAAAACAAATTGAATTAAAAACAAAAAAATCATTGTACTCATCATTATTATTGTGCATTCAACAATGAGAAAAAAAATGTATAATGCTGTCAAAACTACTTTTTGTCTTTATTTCATATTTTACACAGATAATCTTTAATATTAAAAAAATAAGTGATTAGCGCGCAGGCGCGAGAACTCAAACACATGTTCGATACGCGTATATCCCATGATTCGATGTTTTACACGTCAAGAACACTTCTTTTTGTTAGAAACCAGGTTAAAGAAAAATATATATATAGAACCAAAATATTTATTATTCATAGATAAAAATAATATTATCATCGTTTCATTAAGTCCATATTTCAATATTAAAAAAATAAGACAAATCAATTTTTTTTTGTTTCTAAACTATATATCAATAATAATGTTTAATCTTTTTATTGATGTTTGTATTATGATAAATAAAAATCTAATCCTCTATAATCTTTTCCTATTTGAATGATTATACCTAAAATGTTATTTTTCTACAACAAACTTAAAAATAAATTCTTCAACTGACATTGAACCTATAATAATAACTATACAAACGGTACATAGTTTTATTTTATTACATAAGTAATTTTTCTATCTTTTCATATGCTTCATTTCTTGTCCGTTGTCATACAATAAGCAGTATAAATAATTTTGTGTCGTTATGAAAAAAAGAAAAAAAGACTGAAGTATGTATTACACAACTGACATGTCAATAGTAAAAGAAGTAAATTTCAATTAATTATTTATTTTAACAAAGAATTGTACACTCTTCAAGATAGATTATTTACTTATACTTATAAGAGAGAGAAAAAAAATGTTTCTAAAAATAACATCTTTTTTTTTTTTAAATATACTTTCCAATTTAAAAATCTTATGCAAGATGAAATTAAAGAGAATTGATCCACTTCAATAAATTTATTCATATTTTTATTATGAAATTTTTTCAAAAAAAAAAAAACTTTTGTTCATCTATTGATATAATGTATTAACTATCAAGTTGTTGCAATGTAACACATACACATCAATCTAAATGGAAACATTCAAATGCGTATGAAAACATCAAGTACGTCTGTTGCCCTATATGGCAATTATTAACAATGATTTTAGTTTTTTTTTATTTCTATTGACTTTGTGCACCAGATTTTCATTGTTATGAAGGAAAAAGTTCTTGTCCTTTTCTTTTCTTGATTATCATGCAGTGTACAATTATCGATTTTCAATTGTGTATGTGTGTCTATAACGCTCAGCAGCGATAAGATGAAGACAATATAAGTCAGAAATACTTTCTTGTTATTCTGTCGAGAATGTAGTTCTAATGAGTACGTCAAGTGTACGGCAACAACGAGCTAATTGAATGTCGAGTACATGTATATATATAGAGAGAGATAGATGTGAGTTAGTACACGAGTTGTCAAAATAACATTGAAGTTCGATTTTCATGCTGAGATCAAAGAGATAAATATGGATATTGCATAAACCAATAGCAGTACTCAGTAGAGATATTATCTTGACTTATGCTATATGTGTTTGCATGCAAGCTGGTAGTTACACTTCTCCTTTTTTTTTTTGGTTGTATTGTATGTATGCACTTATTCTTATTCTCTTGATCCTGTGAATGAGCACGAGTGTGCCTTTGTACGATACTTTATCTTAACTTTTACGAGTCACACACAACCCATGGCCAATGCCAAACAATCATTCATATTCATTCGTTCGTTTCTTCATTCTTTTTTTTATTCGCTATGTAAAGTCAAGGTCTTCTTTATATTGAAATTTCCCTATCATATATATATCTATTCTGTTCAATTATCAACTAAGTATAAATCTTATATACACACAGGTATATATATAAAGACATTGATCTGTCCAAAGCTTATAAAAAGAAAATTGAAAAATTGTAAATACACCATTAGTACTTGAAATTTCTTCATTTCTTTTTTTTCTGACTCATATATACTCATCATAATAGAACGAGCAACAGAAGAAGAAGAAGAAGAGAGAGAGAGAGCGAATGAAAAAAAATTATAAAGAGGTGAACTTTGTTTGAAGAAAAAAAAACGAAGAAGAAAAAAACCGCCGACCTTCTGTTACTGTCATGTGAATGCACACAATACTCTGCGTACATGAGAACCGAAACAAAGAAAGAAGATAGACGGAAAGAAAGGTACTATACTGTATATATATATATATATATATATATATATACCATCGACGTCATGGCATAGCACGCTTCTCTTCCGGTCATAAGTATGTTGAATCTGGAAAAAAAAGAACGAGAGAGAGAGAGAGAACAGAGAAAAAGGTTATTGACCGGTACCTGTAAGAAAAAAAACGCCAAGAAGAGAATGAATGACAGGAAGGAAAGAAAGAATGAGTTTTACATATACCCTACCATTACAAATGGATACTGTAAGTTTGCATCTCATCTTCATTTACCCTCGATTCTCCTTTTTTTTTTATTCTGTAAAAAACCGACGTAAAAGAAAAAAAGAAAGTGCCCATTCATTCATTCAACATAGAGTTTCGCTGATGTATACTACGTCTACTACTACTACAACTACTACGACTTTTTACCCTACTCTCTTTCGTTCCATTTCTTCAATACTGTCTTCGTCATAACGTTTACTCTGTCTGTTCTGTTCTTTATACTTTCTCGCTCTGGTATTCTCCGCTTTTAACTAATACTATACGCGATGCATGCATAATAATATCTACATCATACACAGATATATACACACACACGTTTTTCATCATCTCATATTATACCACGCTTGGTTGTACATTAGTTGTTGTTGATGTTTTTTTTTCTCTCTTTCTAAAACAATAAGAAAAGGAGTATGTATTAATCTTAATTTTCAAGATAAATATAGTAATGCCAAGTGTCGATTCAAATTCGTCTTATTCATCATCAGATTCATCTCTATCATCTCCCCGCGTCCTTTTAAACGATATACGACAACAAGCAATACAACAGCAACAGCAACAGCAGCAACAGCAGCAGCAAGAGCAACAACAACAACAAAATCAAATGCGGAATGTAACTAATAATATAACGCAATCACATATATGTGTAACACGTTATAAAACAGAATTATGTCGACCATTTACAGAAACTGGAAAGTGTAAATATGGTGATAAATGTCAATTTTCACATGGAATGAAAGAATTAAGAATTTTAATGCGTCATCCTAAATATAAAACTGAATATTGTCGAACATTTCATACAAGTAAATAGGAAAAGAATTTCTTTTATAAACTATATATAATTAATTATTTAGCTGGATATTGTCCATATGGTCCTCGATGTCATTTTATTCATGATACGCATGAAGCACGAGCAAATACAAATATGAATGATACAACAATGCGACGACATTCCGATATACGAACGAATCCATTTGCACAAAAATCAACGACTAGGTAAAAAGAAATTTTAATTAAAAAGAAAAAATTAATTCTATTCATCTTAAATAGAAATCGTATTAACAGTGATTATGCAACATTATCTTCATCTCATATAATAAATAATAATTCAAGTTCATCAAAAGTTCCATTCACATTTGAAGAACTCAATCGAGCTTTACTTTCTTGTGACACTGATGATATATTTCAACAAGCACAAGAAAAACAAGATTTTTATCCATCTATATTATCTACAATGACAAATTCATTAACACATCGTACTTTTTCATCATCATCATCATCGAACAGCAGTTTAACTCCACAGTATATATAAGTTCGTTTTTCACGAACTTTTTTTCTGTTTTCATTTACCGTCCGTTCGTTTGCTCTCGTGCTCTATTATACATAAATTATATATATATATATATATACATGTTCGTTTTTTTTTCTCGTTTTTCTTTTTTTCTTTTTATTATTTCATTCATACAATATTATATACGGTGCTCATTTACTACCATTGTCCAGCAAATGCGTGCCTTATCAGCAGACACATGATGCGTCATATAGTGGTCGTTTGTTTTTTTTTCTTCTTCTTCTTCTTCTTCAGTTTTGTATTTATACTTAAAAAAAAATTTACGAAAATGGTACGTGTGTATATGTCAAGAATGAAAATGATATTCGCCGTTTTTATCAATGACAGTGACTAATGTGCGAGTGCGTAATGATAATAAAAAATTTCTAACAAATATTTGTTTGAAAGTCAATGATGAAATATATGTATCCAATTAAATAGATTTATTTATGATAATAATTTTTTAACCCAATGGCAATCTCTTATTTAGAAATAATAAAAAAAACGTACTTGAAATTTGCTAAAAGAAAAATTATTCGTTCTTTTGTTTCGTAGATATTTTAGCTTACAGCCATTTTTTATTGACACTTTTTTCCAAGATAGTTGTGAAAGGAGTACGCGACACATACACATATCTACTATTTTCTTTTCTTTTTTTCGCTCTTTCTCATCTTCTCTTTCACTTAAGTACGACATACTTTATTCATAAAGAAGAATTGATGATCGATAGAGTAATGTTTTTACTAAGGTATACACGTAAATATTCGATTGAAACATGTCATCATTGTTGAGATGTATATAGTGAAGTGGCGATGAAAGGCAAACAACACCAACTAAAAAAGCCATATACACGCATCTATATACAGTGTATTTGTATTCCATCACTACTTTAGAATTTAAAGGTTTTCGTTTTTCTTTTTAAATTTTATTGGTTATGTTCAGAATTAGTAATAGAGAATTTCAAGATGGCATTTATTTTCTCATTGATGTTTATCTTATAAATGGATGTCGTATAATATAAACATTCATGACGTATATGTCATTGACGTTTTACATACATCGTCAAAATGCTGAAAACTATCTGATGACAAAAAGATATATCGAGTTGTTCATTAATCTGCAAAAAGAAATTCTCTGATATCGATAATAATGATGATGAAGACCTTCAAATTGTCCTTGAGAAAACATATTAATTCATTCATTTGATTCATCAATTAATGTATACTAATCAGACAAGTATAGAATGAAGTAGAAAAATAAAAAGAACGTGACATGGATATCAAATTTGTATAGAGAGAATAGAGATAAACTTATCAGATATATATATATCTAAACTTAGACAGACAAATATTCTATGCAGAGATCATAAACTTTGTGTCTATATATAACAAACGATTGTAAATTTTTACTACAGAATTTGTACTCTATGATAATGATGATATATGAATGTATATACTAAACATGATTTTGATGTATAATGAAGGTAATTATACAATAAGTAACAACTAAAAAAAGATTTTAATGATAATTTCCAGGATGTGCTTTGCGTAGTTAAATACAAATAAAGATCATATAACTAAAAGAAAAGCACGTGCCGAGAATATTGAATATATGTGGTTTTGCGCATGAATAGTTGATTTATGATGATACATAATCAGTATTCTGCAAAAAAAATATAATTATGTAATCAAATGAATACAATATATTAATAATTGTATCCTTTTTCTTCTTCTTCTTCTTTATAACTATAAACAAAAATCTGCATTTCTTTTTGTAGTCTAATGAATATCGAATTTCGAATCAAAAAAGTGGAAAATTTTTTTTCATGATTGTCAATGAAAGGATGCATTAACCTGTGATAAAAACGAAGTAATATATAGAAGAAGAAAAAAAAGAGGAAGTCCATCAATTATAAATCATTAAAATGATGATCAGTGAATAGATATAAATGAACTCTATTCGGGTTAGCGAGTAATCTGAACAAAGATAAAGATTGCGTCTTTTTTATCTAATACAAAAACTAAAATAACGAATTGAAGTTTATTTGTTCATAAAAGATATAAAGAATCAATGTCAAACGTCGAGAGATCTATTTATTGACACAGATATTTTTAGGATAGCTTTCTTTAACAAGACGTGAATTATATCAATGAATGTATCTCACTTACTGAATTCAGACAAAACGGCGGTATCCTTTATCTGATGGTCAATCATGATGATTTGATATCAAGCATTTTGCCAACATATTCCCTCGGATATAGATTGATCATCAAGAAAGATTATATCATCCAATAGATGTCAGACATATAGGGATGTTTGAAAACATCTGGATGATTTCTATTGATTGATTACTAAATCAACCAATACTATTTTCGATAAGATACATTTCTATTTCTATATATTTATTATATTTCGTATTGTTTTTAATCTCTCTCTTTCTCAAGTCAATTATGTCAGATATTTTATTATTTCGTTCCAATCATCCAAACATTCAATCAAAGTTTATTAATCAACTAGAACGAGAATTTTCTCATATTGTACAATTATTATATACAACAAATGTACCAAATGCTTTACTTGAACGTGAAGTATTACCTTATATAGCTAAAAATATTCTTTTTAAAGATCCTTGTCAAGAAGCAAATGGTAAAGAACTCTATCGAGTTGGTATGAAAGGTTTTCATAATCTATTTCATTTTACATTTGATACATTACAATTAAATATTAAATTAAATGATGATGGTAAAACAGGTCGTTGTATTGTCGATGGTATTATGAATGTCAAGCAATTTTCATGGATCTATACATATCCATTACGTTCAATATTGATATTTGAATTTCGTTTATTGAATAATCAAAGTATTGATGAACCACAATTTGAAATATTTCGACATGAAGAAATGTGGTTTGTGTTTTATAATCATTTTGGTTTTTAAAATAAATTATTTTTTCCAGGTCATTTTCTGATATGATCGATGGTATACCTGGTATTGGATGGTTCTATAAAAATATCTTTCGTTGGGGATTTGGTTATTTATTTGTTGGTATTTCAGCTTTAAGCTGTTTTTTACATGATAGTCTCATACAATCAACAAAGAAAAAAGAATAATTGCTAACATTTATTTTTATATTCGACACAGGGAAAAAAATAGTAGATAACATTGATTACTTTTATTCTAGATGATTTTTATCGATAAATTATGAATAATGTAGACGAAGTTAGTTAATTTTTGAAAATAAAGATTTTAGAAATAAATAAATTCTTTTTTTTCTAGTTTCCGCAATGTTTTTATTGTGCGGGATATTATACTCGATGTTTTGGGGATCCAATATGTCGAATTTGTCATGCATTTATATATCCACATGAAATTGATCAACAACAAGAACCAAATATTTGTGAAGATGTATGTTACGAATAAAGATTTAATCATTAAATCTTTTTTTTGTTGATAATAGAAAGGTGAAGCTGATGATTCAGGAAATGAAGACACAGACGATGGATATGCCTGTGCATCAGGTTCAAATAAACAACCTAAAAAATCGTTATCAACAACAGTAACGATAGATTCATCGGCACTAGCAACAACAAATTCTTCCATGTCGTCAGCATCGAATAATAGACGAAATGATTTGTTGAATGAACTTTTACTTGAATTAACAGCAACAAATATTATTTGGAATGATGATACATCTTATTTAAGTCAGTTACCTCCTGAAGTTATGTTAACTATTATGAAATGTATGGATGATTTGAGTATTTATGCATTAGCTAAAGCATCAAATCGTTGGAGACAATTAATTGATTCAACAGTTGATTGGAAACAATTTATTCGTACACGTTGGCCACTTTTCCCTCTATCAGATGATGATAATAGTTCAAATCTTAGTCGAATATATGATCAATTGTAAGCAAAAAAAGTTTTTCATTCTATGAATTGAAAATCAATAGAATTTTTTTTTAGAATTCGTAGTTCAAGTTGTTTTATATGTTTAAGTGATACTGGAATTCGAGTAAATATTTAATAGAATTATTTTTTTTTATTGAAATTTTTCTTTCTAGTTTGAAAATAATGGACAAATGCAACCAACATTATGGCGTCATAGACGATTACAAAGTGAAATTCGTGCTTTACGAGTATGTATTTAATTTTTCATAGGAATTCGATTGTTATTTGAATCTTTAGGATGATCCACCTGATGGTATTCGTGCTGAACCATTGGATTCATCTTGTTGTCATTGGCATGCTTCTATCTGGGGTCCTAGTTCATCACCTTATGAAGGTCTCTATTAAAAAATTAAAACATATTTGATTGTATTTTTTTCTAGGTGGTATTTTTTATCTCTATTTACACATTCCTCAATCGTAAGTTTGTTTTTTTAATTGTTTGACAATACATTTGAAAACTCTCGTCTTATTTTTAGCTATCCAATGATTCCACCAGTTGTACGTTTTATAACGAAAATATTTCATCCAAATATAAATATTCATGGTGATATTGGTCTTGATTCATTTGGTTCAAATTGGAGTTTAGCATTAACAATATCAAAAGTCCTTATATCAGTGCAATCATTATTAAGCGATCCATATGCGCATATATGTATGAATCGTCAAGCAGCAGATTTGTATACAAACGATCGAGAGCAATATGAACACAAAGCCCGTCAGTGGACATGGGCATATGCAATGCATGATTATATAAATGGAGATGAAATCGAAATTTGAGAAATAAAAAAGAGAGAATTCTTTTTTTTTTTCTTTTTTTGTTATTTATTATTGTTATCAGTAAAAAATCTCTACGTTTTTTTTTTTCGTTTTAGATGTCTCATAATTTGTCAGATGCTGGTCGTTTTATACGTGGATTAACTAAATTAAGTAGACAAATCGTAAATGAAGCAACGAGAGCAGATGATCCTCGTCGACGCTCACCATCAGTACTTGAACCTTTACTTGGACTTGTATCAAATGGTTTAACTCATCTTAGTGGAATTAATATATCGAATACTATATCTAAAACAGCATGGAAATCAAGTGTTCTTGTTCGTCAAACTGGTATAGCTGCAACAAATGCTATTCGAACTTCATCATCCCCATCACTAGTATACACATCTTCAATTCCACCTCATCTTAAGATCGATTCACCCATAGTTACAACAACAACTACTGTAGTTAAAGATAAAATTCCAATTCCAAAGTATCCTGAAATAGATTCATCCACAATTACAACAACGACTACTTTAGCTAAAGATAAAATTCCAATTCCAAAATTTTCTGAAATAGACTCATCAACAACTACTCATCCTCAATTAGATACATCAACAGTTAAGCCAGCAACTAACTTTATCAAAGATAAAAGTCCGATTGCAACTCATGCTAAACTCGATTCTACTACACCTATTATGGAACAAAAATTTGAACCATTAATATCAATTAAAAAACTAGATTCAACTACATCTTCAACAAAAATCGATTCCTTAAAAGTTACACCAACTTTTTTTACTCCTTCCATAGTCGATGACTCATCAACACCATTAACAATTGAAGAAAATCAAAATTTAGTTTCACCACCACCACCATCACCAACAAATTCTGAAGCTCAGGCACGAGCAGTACCAACATCAAGAATTGGTCGTTTAGCAAGTTTTGGTTCTCTTGCTGCTGGTCTTGGCGTAGGTGCTCTAGGTTCTATGGTTCGACGTTCAGTTGGACTTGAACAAGCATCTTCACAACAATCTCTTTCACCATATTTATCAAAAGCAAATGCTGAACGTATTGTTGATACATTATGTAAAGTACGCGGTGCTGCACTTAAATTAGGTCAAATGATAAGTATTCAAGGTAGGAAAGAATCATTATTTATTTATTAAAATATATATCTCATTTTATTTTAGATAATTTTCTTGTTCAAGATGATATTCAAAAGATTTTCGAACGTGTTCGTCAAAAAGCAGATTTTATGCCTTTATGGCAAATGAACGAAGTAATGACGAATGATTTTGGTGCTAATTGGCGTGATGAATTTCAAGAGTTTCAAGATCGACCATTTGCTGCTGCTAGGTAATAAAAACAAATTCTTCTTTTATTTGTTACCGTTGTTTTTTGCTAATATAAATTTAGTATTGGTCAAGTTCATTATGGTGTTTTAAAAAATAGTAAACAACGTGTAGCTATTAAAATTCAATATCCCGGTGTAGGAAAATCAATTGAAAGTGATATTAATAATTTAATCACATTACTCAATTTTTGGAATATACTTCCACGTGGTTTATATATTGAAAGTGTTATAAAAGTTGCTAAACGTGAATTAAATTGGGAAGTTGATTATATACGTGAAGCTGAATGGGGTCGTCGATTTCAATATTGGCTTAGTAATTATCCTATTTATCGTATACCAGATATTATCGATAATTTATCATCAAAAAATGTTTTAACAACATCATTTTTCGATGGTATTACTCTTGATAATGCTATTAATGAAAATCAAGTTATACGTGATAGAATTGGTACAGCTATATTAGAATTATGTTTATTAGAATTATTTAAATTTAAAGCTATGCAAACTGATCCAAATTGGTCAAATTTTTTATTTAATCCAGCAAATAAAACAATTGGTTTAATAGATTTTGGTTCATCACGTGATTTTAGTCCAAAATTTATTGATAATTATTTAAAAATTATACGTGCATCAGCTGATAATGATCGTGAACGTATTAAAGAATTATCAATTGAAGGTGGATTTTTAACTGGTTATGAAACACGTGAAATGGTTGATGCACATGTGAATGCTGTTATGTTATTAGGTGAGGGTTTTCGTACAGAACAAGCATTTGATTTTGGTTCACAAAATACAACACATAGTATACATAAATTAATCCCAACTATGCTCAAACATCGTTTAACACCACCTCCAGAAGATTCATATTCATTACATAGAAAAATGTCTGGTGCATTTTTACTTTGTACAAAATTACGTTCAAGAGTTTATTGTAAACCAATTTTTGAACGTATATGGAGAGAATATAAATCATCATAATTTGTTATTGTTATTTTGTTATGTTCTTTTTTTTAACGAACTAAAATATGTTTCTTAAAATCTAGGAAATAAATCTAGTTGATATTTAATTATTTTTTGTTTAGTTTTTTAAATTAAATATTCTTTGTAGATTTATTTCAATGATTTATTTATTACGTCAAACATGTCCATTAATCCTGCGTTCATCAATTATTCGAATAACAACAACATCTATGTATATACATCCTCAACAAAAATATATTTCATCTATTCCTCAACGTCCGAAAACTATTCTTGATAATCTACCAAAATCAATACAACCTTATATTCGACTAAGTCGTATGGATAAACCTATAGGGACATGGTTATTATTTCTACCGGGTGCATGGAGTATTGCATTTGCTGGTACAACATTACATAATATTGAATTAATAGGTTTATTTGCTGTTGGTAGTATTTTAATGCGTGGTGCTGGTTGTACAATAAATGATCTTTGGGATAAAGATTTTGATCGACGTGTTGAAAGAACAAAATCACGACCAATTGCTAGCGGTGAAATTTCAGTAAGACAAGCATTTATATGGGCAACAATACAATTATCATTAAGTTTTCTAATATTAATTCAATTAAATATTCCATCGATAATTCTTGGAGTAATTGCATTAGTTCCTGTTGCTATTTATCCTTTAATGAAACGATTTACTTATTGGCCACAACTTTTTCTTGGAGTTACATTTAATTGGTAAGCAAATATATATATATCATTTAACATTGTGTTTCCAATAAAAAAATGAATAGGGGTGCGCTGATGGGTTTTACAGCTGCAACAGGTATTGTTTTTCCATCAATTATATTACCATTATATTTCGCTGGTATTGCTTGGACACTTCATTATGATACAATGTATGCACATCAAGATAAAACAGATGATTTACTTGTTGGTGTTAAATCTACGGCTTTACGTCTTGGAGCTGAAACAAAACTGTGGTTAAGAGCTTTTTCTATTGGCATGATATCACATTTAATTACAGCAGGTTTAAGTGTTGATCAGACATGGCCTTATTATTTAGGCTTAGTTGGTGTTAGTTATCATCTTCATAAACAAATTGAAACAGTTAATTTAAATAAAAATACATCGTGTTGGAATGCGTTTGCATCAAATCGTCTTACTGGTTTAATGATACTTGCTAGTATTTTAGCTGGAAATCTTCTTAGATAATTGTGATATATATATATAATATACATAGATTAGTTTTTTTTCTTCTAGATGAATCTATTAAAATCTATTGTACAACCAGCACGTATTCAATTATTTACGGTTCCTCAACGGTAAATTGTGTTTTTGAAAGTTGTTTGCTCTATAACCAAATACTTTCTAGGACATTATTTGATGTTCAAAACGTATGGGGTCGTACAGCTGTTGATACACAAAAACCAATTGATTCAACTCCATTAAGCGAAATACCGCGACAAGATGTAAATAAACGAATTAGATTATTTTTCTTTAAATTTTTTATTCGTAGGAATCCATGGGTGTTTTATCAGGTGTACCACGAGATATAATTAAAGAGCGACGTTGTCGTATATTTGTACCTGCTCGTAATGCTATGCAATCAGGTACACATAATACACGAAAATGGAGAGTTGAATGGAATACAAAAGAACGTTGGGAAAATCCCTTAATGGGTTGGGCATCATCGTAAGAAAATTTCTCTTTTTAAATCAAAAAAAAACAAAACACTTATTTTTTTATAGTTCTGATCCACATTCATCACTTTCGGTTGAATTTGGTTGTAAAGAAGATGCTATGATTTATTGTGAACGTATGGGTTAGTATTCATCTATTAAATATATTCAATAATAAACTATTCTATTACGATAAATTTTAGGTTATAGATATGAAGTTGTTGAACCACCCTCACATGGTCATTACAAGAAATCATATGGAGCAAATTTTTCATGGAACAAAAAAACTCGTGTATCAACCAAATAAAACTAGACATAACTATTATCTTTCCTTCATTTTTGCTTTGATGTAAAAACAAAATAAATTACTCATATTTCTTCCCCCATTATTGATGTCTTAGCATATATATATATGAAAACATTTTCTAAACTAAATATATTCCGTATGTTTTCGATTTTATTCAAATGATTTAACAGCTGATTTTTATCCTCGATGAGAAAATAGATGTTCTTATCGAAATGACATAGCAAGTTTTTTTTTATCTAATGATAACAAAACAAAAAATATCATAATCATTATTTACTTTTAGATTTTATTGTTATGCAGAATAGTTTAATATTTCGAACGGCTATTGCCGTATGTATAATTGTATCAAGTTTTGCTACATTAACAAAACAGTAAGATTAAAATTATATGAATATATTTATTGAGTTTTCTTTTTAATTTAGTTATGATATTTCTGATGATCGATTAGAAAGTCTTTTCAAGTAGGTTTTTTCTTTATTTGAAGAATTATATAATTTTTTGTTTTGAAGAAATTGGCTTGATCAACATGATCGTGATTATAATTCATTTGCTGAATATCAACAACGAATGATTGTTTTCAAAGAAAATTATATTCAAATTCAAAAAATGAACGAAGTCTTCGGGTAAAATATTTACATATCTTTCTAGTTTTTATTTATAATAATTTATCTTCTTAATTAAAGACATGATATGAAATTCGAATTAAATAAATTTTCTGATTTAACTGAAGATGAATTTCGAAATACAATTTTAATGCGTCCTCAAGCACCACCAATACATTCACCATCAAGGTTATTCATCTACATCAAATATTCCTTAGAAAATAATTCCTCTCTTTATTTTATTATAGATTCATGAAAGTTGAAAATGTTGAAGATTTACCTGCTTCATTCGATTGGCGTGAACATAATGCAGTTACACCAGTAAAAGATCAAGGTATGAAAATTATCAAAACAGAAGATTTATTTTAGTTTAATTCTATTTTTAAAGGATCGGTTGGTACATGTTGGGCTTTTTCAACAGTTCAAAATGTTGAAGGACAATGGTTCCTAAAGAGTAAAACATTAACAAACTTATCTGTTGAACAAATTGTTGATTGTGATGGCATGCAAAAAATTGATTCGTTCGTATTTTATAATGAAAATTAATAATGATTCTATAGAAAATATTTTATTTAGAGCACAAGCTGATTGTGGTGTTTATGGTGGTTGGCCATTTCTCAGTTTTCAATATTTAATCAAACAAGTAAAATTTTGGAAAAAAAAGAAATATAATAATAATGAGTTTTTTTCTAGGGTGGTATTGAACCTGAAACAGCCTATCCTTATTGTGCTGGAATAAAAACACCATGTGAACCATGCAATGCTCCAGGATATAATAAAACTTTATGTGGACCACCAATTCCATTTTGTTATATAAAAGATAGTTGTGAAAGTAAACTTGACTCAACAAAATTTGTATCGAATCTTAAAGTTGTCGATTGGAAAGCAATTAACGAAGTAGAAAATCTGTTTTTTTATCTTAGATTTGAAAATATTTATTTATTTAAAGGATGAAACAACGATTGCCAATGCTTTAATGAGTACTGGTCCATTATCTGTAGCACTTAATGCTGAAATGTTACAATTCTATCATAAAGGAGTATTTAATCCAATTTTTTGTAATCCAAAAAATCTTGATCATGCTGTACTTCTTGTTGGTTGGGGAGAAGAAGGATCGAAACCTTATTGGATTGTGAAAAATAGTTGGGGTACTAGCTGGGGTGAACAAGGTTATTTTCGTATTTTACGTGGTAAAGGTACATGTGGTATTAATACTCAAGTAACAACTGCAATACTCGGTTAAAATAAAAAATATTTGTTTTTTGATATATGTGTGTGTGTGAATAAATCAACTTCCTGTTTTTGGTAATTCAAACAAAAAAATTGTCTTTATGTGTATTTGATAATTAATAAATAAAAAACATATTTCTCTTTGTTAATAAATAATACGTACACTATCGTTTGAGCTAAAAAATGCAATAACAACTCTCCATGGTAATGGACATACTCGTATATCGATAGGAAGACGATCGATAATATCAGTCCGATGATGTTCTAGTAAAATTTGTTGTATATTACAATTTAATGTTAATGATATTTCATCACCTTCATTAAATATTGTATTAACAGGATTGATAACAACTTTTTGACTTTTAACAACACGAGAAATAGGTGACATCCAACCATAAAGTGATGGGGAGTTAAAAATATCTCTATTCATTTCTTCTAAAGAATTAACAATACCAAAGAAAAGATATTTATTTAGTTTCTGTTCTATACGAAAACGAATTCGGTGTATTCCAGATAAATAAAATTTAGTTAAATAAACCATTGTACTACGTTGAGAATCACCTGAATGTTTTGCAACATGATGATTATCTGTAAATATAGCATCACCAATAAATGTATTAAAATTTTGAATTATGGGTAATTCTGAGAATTGATTCGAAATTGTATTACAATTAGACATTTGTGTAGTAGATTGTTGATCAATTTTTTGTTTTATTTTAATCATATAAATAGGTCTTGATAGAGTATTATCTTCTAGAATATCAATAATTGGTGGTTTTTCTAACATTTTTCGAAGTTCACGTAATTGTTTATTCCACAAATCAAAATCAATTTCAGTATAATCTCCTGATTCTCGATTTGATTGTAATTCATCGGCTAATTTATTACAATTATTTGTTATTTGACTTTTATTTTCATCTAAACATTGTCGAAGATCATGCCGAGCTTGTTGAGCTATTTGTTGAATTTTTATTATTGATTCACGTTCCCAAATATTAATACGATCAAAAAGAAGATGGGAATCATTATCATCACGAATTAAATCACGTCGGAGAAGATCATATTCTTGACCGATACTATCCATTTCAATCGAAAGTTCTTGTCGATGATCAGCTATGTGTTTTGTACAAAATGATCGTTCACATCCATCACATGTAAGAATACTCATATTTTTATTACATTTAGAACAACGTTTTTTCAACGTATTCGATGCCATAATTTTTGTCTAGAATAACAATTGTGTAATGTAATGTTAGTTTTGATTAAATATATAAAGAACGAATGTCGAAGGACAAAACGTGTTTCTTCTTCTTCTTCTCTGTTTACAGGTAATTTACTCTATAATCACAAATGTATCGTTATGATTCATAGATGACTTCCAGTAATATTAGATTTTTTTTCTGAAAAAAAAATCTTACAAGGTGATTGTAGATTGAATACATAACTGACGGGGCTAAAATATTTTAGTCTAGATGAAGAATGAAATTAATCATTAGTTGTATAAATGGGATTATATTTCAAATGAGTTTCAATATATGATCGAATTAATTGTCTAATTCAAAGTAGTGGCGTAACCACACTGGGGTCAGATGGGATTCAGCCGCATCACCCGGATTTTTTAGTTACTGAACTTGTCAATAAATTATCCAAAAGACTATCCATGTAAAAAAACTACAAAAAATATGATTAAACCTGGCCAAAAAATCGATGAAAATCCGACTTTTTACTTTTTGTTTTTACATGGAATAGACAGTGCTGAGGCTGAGCCCCATCATCCTTACATTTCTGGTTACGCCACTAATTCAAAGACATAATGAGCTATGAAAAATCCAAGTCTAAATAGAAAAGCAATCGTTTAGTTATACAAACACTTATAACTAAAACTTTCAAAGAGAAATCGATTGAAAGTGGTATGTAAACATTGTTCTTTATGTGCTCATGAAGGATCTCTGTAAAAATACTAATATTTTATTTTCTTCTAATGAATTCTTATATGTACCTATAGACAAACACACATTGTCTGGCATAATAATGAGTGAAGGTGAACGGATGTTTGTATCTGTATCAAATCATGCGATAAAATAATTTTTATTGATTTAAATAAGTAATAAAAACTTCAGAAAATCAGAGTATCACTTAAACTAATATATATAAAATCATACATACACATCAAGATCCTATTAATTTCAAGAACCTAAATGAAATTTAAATAAATGGTTTGATCAAAATAACTATAACCATCAATATTATTAGTCAAATAAAGTATAATAAATTTATTTGTTAAGATACATTGCGAAAGAAATTGTATGTTCAAAATTTTTATTAGACTAGAAAGTTTACTTAATATAGATGTCCTTACCGTATTATTGTTTATTATGGTTCTCCATTGAGGTATGGTGCATTGCATGAAAACACAGCTTGATGATGAAAGATACAGAATCCAATCGATAATAATATTGATGATGAAATGAGTTTGATTTAATAATAAATAAGATTGTTTTGTTGTTTTTCACCTTGACTGTAATAGAAATATATTTATTTAATTTTTAGAATTTTTTTGGTAATTAACTTTTCAGTTAAGTCATGATTTTATTTTCAAATCGACACATGGATTTAAATCTCATGAATAATAAAACTGATATTATCAATTGGTTTATTTTTATATATTAATATTTGATGAACTCATCAACGTTATTATTTATTTTAAAACGATTCTATTTATATTAAGGTAAATAAAATACTATTTTTAATATTTAAATAACATACAGTGTTTTTTTTTTTATAAATTTAAGCCTCTTATGATCTATTTTTGTTTTTGAAAAGTGAATTATTATTAATTAAAAAAGATATAATTAAGTCAGTTTATATGGATAGTAGATAATGTTTGATTATTGACTATTTCTCATGTATCATAAATTGTTCAAATGCATGTTCTTTTTCGAATATTTTAATTATAGTTCGTCTGCACAATGAAATGAACTTCCTCCGGTTATATTATATTTTTTGTCATGAATAGATCGAGATTTTCTTCCGTTTGAATCTGAATAAAAGATAATTCTATCAGAATAGAAGAAGAAGAAAAAAAACTTGTAAGATTACTCGCATCATCGAAATTCAAAGCTTAATTTGAAATGATAAGATTTCCCAATGAGAATTCATAAGATTTATGATTTCTATTTAAATATATTATTCTGTTAAATGATGTAATCATTTTTCTATCATAAAAGAAACAATATTCTCAACAATTCTCTTGTAGATTATTGAAAAAGAAAAATATTATGTTACGTGTACTTGAATTATTCAGTGGTATTGGTGGTATGCATTGTGCACTTGATTTTCTGGATCTCAATTATGAAATTGTGGCTGCTATTGATATAAATCCTACTGCAAATGTTGTTTATTCATCAAATTTTCCTAATGTTCCAATAATTAATCGTTCAATTGAAACAATATCTTTAAAACAATGGGAAAAATGGAATGCTGATCTATGGACAATGTCACCACCTTGTCAACCATTTACTCGTCAAGGTAAACAAGAAGATTTAAATGATCGTCGTACTGATGGATTTGTTTATTTAATGAAAACAATTCTTTCACAATTAAAATCTAAACCAAAATATATTCTTCTTGAAAATGTATCTGGCTTTGAACATTCTCAAGCTCATCAATTATTATTAGAAACATTACAATCAAATAATTATTCTTATGAACAATATCTTCTTTCACCAATACAATTTGGTATACCTAATTCACGTCTTCGTTATTATCTTATAGCTAAACAACAAGAGAATTCAATTGATACTTATTCACCAATAATTCATACACGTATATCAAATTTTGAAAAACTATTAACCAAACTTCATGAACAATTTCCATTGAAAACTTCGTTATCTAGTGAAGAAAATTTAATACAAAATCGAAATGATCAAATAACAGATCAATGTAGTCATTCATCTGAAATTCTTATTGATTCTAATCAATCAATGTTTATTAATGATTTTTTAGTTTCAAATGAAAATTCCGAGTTTGAATTAGATGAAAAACAATTAAAACGAGGTTTAAATGTTTGTGATATAATCACTTGTTATGCAAAACGTTCATTTTGTTTTACAAAATCTTATGGAAAATATTTTGAAGGTACAGGTTCATTATTTAGTACATTAACAGATCATATTCGATATTTTACACCTAAAGAAATCGCTAATTTGCATTGTTTTCCATTAAATTATAATTTTCCACAACAAATAACAAATCGTCAAGCATATTCATTACTTGGTAACAGTTTAAATGTTTTTGTTATTAGTATTTTACTCGAAAATCTTTTCGAGCGCTTTTGATATTTCGTTAATTTGTTTTTCTTCTTGTTTATTATTTTTTGTCTTCTTCAGATAAAATATATGAATTCTCGAACATTAAAACGCATATCAAATGTACGTTTAAAAGCACGTAGTGAACTTAAATTAGATGAATGGCAACAACATAATTATTATTATGATAAAAATTTAATCGGATGTACAAAAGATCAATTAGAAAGAATTGATGCACGAAATACCACACGTGAAGAGTTCATTGAAAAATATGAACGTCCAGGTAAACCAGTTATTATTCAACATTTAATTGATGATTGGCCAGCATTTGATAAATGGACAATTGAAAAATTAGGTAAAAAATATCGTAATCAAAGATTTAAAGTTGGAGAAGATGATGATGGTAAATCAGTTAAATTAAAAATGAAATATTTTCTTGATTATGCATTAAATAATCGTGATGATTCGCCATTATATTTATTTGAATCAAGTTTTGGTGAACATCAAAAAAAGAAACGTCTTTTAGATGATTATGATGTACCGGAATATTTTTCAGAAGATCTATTTCATCTTGTTGGTGAACATCGAAGACCACCCTATCGATGGTGGTGTATTGGACCACAACGTTCAGGAACAGGAATACATGTAAGTTTTAATAGAGGGAGTTTAGTTATTTTTTGAAATCATATTTATTCAAATCAAGTTCTCGATCAAATGACAAATGATATTATCTGTGAATATTCCAGATTGATCCATTGGGTACAAGTGCGTGGAATGGACTTATTTCCGGACATAAACGTTGGTGTATATTTCCACCATCAACACCACGTGAATTACTCAAACCAACATCAGCTGATGCACCACGAAATAAAGATGAAGGAATAACATGGTTTAAAGTTATTTATCCAAGAACACAACATCATTCATGGCCAAAAGAATATTCTTGTATTGAAGCTATTCAACATCCTGGTGAAGTCATTTTTGTACCTGGTAAGACAAACGATTTACAATCAATAAATGTCATCGGAAAAGAATACGATTATTAGACATATAAGAATTGTTTTATAGCATGATGGGTGTACAATAGAATGAACATTCATTCAAACTGTCATCTTAGATAAAGAACAAATAAATAGATGCAAACTAATCTAATAAAATTTTGTCCGGAGTTTTTCTTTAGAAGTTTTATCATATTTTTTAAAATAATTGGTTATAAGATTAGATACCATTCATTACGAGAATGTATGAATTTAATCTTATCTTTTAATGATTATATATTCTAAATGTTTTTATCAACACTGATAGCATAAAAGAGATAACAAAAAATGCAATACATGCATCTAATTTTCAACAGAGAAAAAAAAGCTCTTAATCATAAGTCTAAAATAATTATTTTTTAAAAAGTATCTACTGCCTCTCTATGACTTCCATTCTTCTAAAAACATTGATCGCCTACGGGAATAATAGCATTTGCGTCATGTCTTTTCAATCTTAAAATGAAACTTTCTTTCTTTTCCTGTGCGTGACAAACTGTTGATATATATATTTTTTTTCTTACAGGTGGCTATTGGCATGTTGTACTTAATATGGATTTAACAGTTGCTGTCACACAAAATTTTTGTTCATCAGTTAATTTTCCAAATGTTTGGACACGCGTAATACGTAGTCGACCAAAAATGTCAAAAAAATTTCTTGAACGCCTTAAACGTCGTCGACCTGATTTAGCACGTTTAACTGAAAAAATTGATATTAATGGTGATACAGGTCCACGATCGGATACGTCATCATCAAGTAGTTCATCATCATCTGCTGATTCATCACCTGATTCAGCTGATGAGAGCGATACTGAATCAAAAGTAACAACAATACATGAACGGCCATTTGATCAAGGTGATGAATCATTCGTTAAAAAACAACGTGTTACACCGTTATCATAATATATATTTTTTGTTATTTGCTATTCTTATCCTATATGGAAATATGTTTTTTTTATATATATACATATATTAAACAAGAGAAGAAAATTGTGCTAAAAAAAATTTTTTCTTTCTCATCTTGTATCAGTTAATTTGTGTTTGTAGATAAATTTTTATTTGAATATTCATTATGTCAGAAGTAGTAAAAGATACCAAAATTAAGCTTGATGATCCACGATATGATCAGAATACATATTCTGGCCGAGGTTAGTTTATATTTCAATATTCTTTTTATTATTGAATTTTTATCAATTAGCTAAACATTTTTTTCTTACAACAAATCCATTAAATCTCTTGGCTAGTAATGAACAATTGGATGAAGGTAAATTATTGATTAGAAAAAAAAACGAAAAATTTCGTATTATTTAATTTTTTAGCTAAGAAAATTGTTGAAGATTATCGTCATGGTATTATATCTAAATCTGGCATGACTTTGGATGAATTATGGCATGCAAAATATTTATATGATAGTGCATTTCATCCTGACACAAAAGAAAAAATGTTTATTCTTGGTCGAATGTCAGCACAAGGTTTAATTTTTGTCAAAATTTTATTTTTCAATTTCTTTATTTTATTATTTTAGTACCATGTAACATGTTGATTACTGGTTTTATGTTGACAGTAAAGAGAAACTTTTTATTTATCGATTAACTCTTATTTTATTCTAGTTCTATAAAACAATACCTGCTATTGTTTTTTGGCAATTTGTCAATCAATCTTTTAACAGTATTGTTAATTATACGAATCGAAGTGGTGATAAACCAATAACAAATACTGATTTAATGAAAAGTTACGCTGTTGCAACATCCGTAAGTTTCTTATTTTTTTGTTTCATTTAAACAATATATTTAGTATCTATATAAGAGAAGGGTTTAATAATATTCTAGTGACAATACATCTGTAAAATTCTATCATGTTTGTACCTCATTTTAATATGCCTAACAAACTGTAGGTTGATATTAAGTTAGAATAGCTTATAACAACTAATTTCTTTTATCTTGCTTTAGGTTCTTTAAATTTGCGAGTTAGAATATTGAATTTTTTGTAATGATCTTTTGTTTTATATTTAGGCTGCAACAGCTACCGCACTTGCTCTTAAAGGTAAATTGAAATAATGTTAATTCTATTTAATAATTTTGTATTTTAGCTGCTGTATCAAAATTACCACCAATCATGGGTCGATTTGTACCATTTGCAGCTGTAGCCGGTGCTAATTGTGTTAATTTACCATTTATGCGATGGAATGAAATTCGAGATGGTATCGCTGTATTTGATAAAGATGGTAAACGTGTTGGAGGTAAATTAGCAAAAAAAACATATTGAAATTATTTCGAATACATATTTATTTCCTCCTCAAATTAGAATCATCTGAAGCAGCAAAGAACGCTATTGCCCAAGTAGTTCTATCACGTATTGGCATGGCTGTTCCAGGTATATAATTTCAATGAATATTATTTATTTTAGACTAAGTTTTCATTTTAAGGTATGATCATTCCACCGATTATAATGAATTCACTTGAAAAAAAACCATTTATGGTTAAACGTCCATGGCTCAATAGTCCTATCCAAATTGCCTTATGTGGTGTCTTTTTAACATTTACAACACCAATGTGTTGTGCTTTATTTCCACAAAAAAGTTCAATACCTGTGGCTAAATTAGATGCTAAACTTCGAGAAAAATTATTACATGATGGAATGAAAGAAACCGATCGAGTTTATTTTAATAAAGGTCTTTAAATCAAATACAAAATTAATTAAAAAAGAAGAAGAAGAAAAAAGACATTCTATCCAACCCATTTGTCATTCGTTGCTTTTTCTCACATAGTATTTATTTCACCAGTATTGTAATTGCAGTCATTCAAACATCATCCTTGTCATATTGATTTGATCCGTTTCATATAATGTATCTCCTTTTTCTTCCATTGAATTTATTTGATTCCTTTGATGATTATAAAAATAGAAAAATAGTAGATGTTTGTCTTTCTAATACCTCGTATTATCCGTATTTTTAGATGGAAAATTATCAATTTGTTGTTATTGGTGGAGGTATATCCGGTGTTACGTGTGTTGAAAGTGTATGTGTTTGAGATTATATATGTATATATTTAATCGTTTAAAATATCTTAGATTGCAACATTTGATTCTACAGCTCGAATCTTACTTCTGACAGGAACACCATTGATTAAAGCAATTACGAATTATGTTAAAGTAAAAATTGTTTTTTTTAAATTCTGTTTATTCGAATATAGATTTTATAGGTGAGCAAATTTTTAGAAGAATTTGATATTGAAGAAAAACCATTCAGTTATTTGGCTGAACAATATCCTAATTTAGTAATAAAAAATCAAGTTGTTGAACGATTAGATACTGATAAACAAGTACAAAGTTTTTTCTTCTCCTTCTAATTATTATTACATATATATCTATCTATTAAGATTATTGTCTGTTCTGATAATACACAAATTCACTATGATAAACTATGTATTTGTACTGGTGCACGACCAAAAGTAAACTAATGGTGAAATTTAATTTTACGAAACAAAAAAAATTTGTTTTATTATTTATTCTATTGATTATTAGTTACTTTCAAATACGAATCCTTATGTTCTTGGTATTAGAGATACAGAAACAGTTGAATCATTTCAAAAGAAATTATTAACAGCAAAACAAATTGTTATTGTTGGTAATGGCGGTATTGCAACTGAACTTGTGTATATAGAACATTAACAATCAACTATAATTATGTATTTTATTTCTTTTTATTTTTCTCTACAAGATATGAAGTTGAACATTGTTCAGTTATATGGGCAATTAAAGATGAACATATTTCAACAACATTTTTTGATGAAGCTGCTGCTCGATTTTTTCTTGATCGAATACAAATTGTTAAAGAAAAACAAAAATTAAATGAAAAAAGACGCAAATATGAAGTTACAAATCAACCAACAAATGTTGAAATTTCATCATCAAATATATGTGGAGGTGCTTTAGGTCCTGATTGGGCGGCAAATAGATCTATGAAAGGTGCATCATCTGTAAGTAAAAACATGAATTAAGAAAGGTGGATGTGGGTCATGAAAGAATAGACAGCCACATTAGAGTCCGATGGGACCGGGTTTTTTCATACCGATCCCGACTGTCTCTCACTCAACAGAAATCCGTCCCACCGGAATTTTGATCTCCCTCCAGACAGGATCGGGACAGTTCCATCGGACTCTAAGCCACACTCACCTATAGAGTCCTGAACGGATACAATTTTTTGCACCCGAACCCATGCTCCGGGTTAGGTCGGTTTTGCAGGATTCCCACCTATCCACATCCTAGCTTTTATTTGATATATTTATACTTATTTACAATAGGAATCTCGACAAGTTCATATTGAATATGAAGTTGAAGTGAAAAATATTCTCACACCTGAACAGTATCAACAACGACAACATCCTATTGAAAATCTTCCAGTATCTCAAGGTAAAATAAGATGTATAATTTTAGATGTATTTTAATTTAATGTTTTCAGAAGAACAACAATGGCCAGTTTATGTTGAATTAACAAATGGTAAAATGTTTGGTTGTGATTTTATTGTTAGTGCTATTGGTGTAACACCTAATGTTGAAATGTTTCTTAAATCAGCAAATGTAAAGAAAATTTTTTTCTAGAAAAAATTCTTCTGAAAATCTAATTTAGTTTACATTGGGTATTGATGGTGGTTTATTAGTTGATGAAACAATGCGTACATCAATAAAGAATATTTTTGCTTGTGGTGATGTTTGTACAGCAGGTTGGACATTAGCCGAACATTGGTTTCAAGTATATTATTCTTTTAATAATTCGACAAAAAAATAAATTTTCAATTTAGATGCGTCTTTGGTCACAAGCTCGTCAAATGGGACATTATGCTGGTAAATGTATGTTAGCATATGCACATAATGAACAAGATTCTTTAACAATGGATTTTTGTTTTGAACTTTTTGCTCATACAACAAAATTCTTCAATATGAAAGTTGTTTTACTTGGTAATTATCATGAAAATGATATGAAAAAATATGAAAATCTTATTCGTATGACTCCAGGTAGATAAAATCAAACGACAAAAAAATTCATTCATAGATTTTTTGTTTAAATCTCAGGTGAAGAATATATTCGAGTAACATTAAAAGATGGTCGAGTACATGGTTGTGTTTTTATTGGTGATACAGAACTTGAAGAAACATTCGAAAATCTAATATTAAATCAAATTGATGTTAGTGCATTTGGTGAAACTTTACTTGATCCAAATATTGATATTGCCGATTATTTTGATTGAGAATATGTTTTATTTATTTAAAATAAAAAAAAACTAAAGTTTATAAAATATAAATCCTACATTTGTTTCATAGTTGAATAATAAGTATAGTAATAAACATGTGTTATTATTTTGTAAAATATCAAACGAGCTTTGTTCTATACACACCCATTGAGTATGAATCTGATATTATATGCCACAGCTGTTGTTAATGATAGAAATATATAAGAATCAAGACGAAGAAAAAATTTCATTTTTAAGAATTATAATCTAACAAATGAAGATATTTTATTTCTTTGTCATTTTTCATTGTATTAGTAATAGTATTAATTATCAATTAGATACGTTAGCTATAATTGGTGATAAGAATATTACACATCGAAATTATAGAATTACGCAATCTTTTTCGAAACTATCTATCAATGGACCATTTTATTGTTATGTCACATGGACTAATACGGATCAAACATTAGATATTTATACAGATAATAATATTCATCCATATGTTATTATAAATATCGAAAATGATAAATTAAAAATAACAATTCAATCGAATATAAATTTTAAATATACAAAAATGAATATTTATCTTAATTTACATCCATTTATCACGGAAATATTCTTAGCAGGAATTAGTACTTTATATAGTAGAAATCTATTGAATATGAATCATCTATTAAAATTACATACACAAGGTATGAAATATACATACAAGTTTAACATGTAAATTTTCCAAGATTATTTTAGATACAACTAATCTTATACTTCAATTAGATGTATTCGATCTTAATGCACTTTTTCTATCAGCTGGAACAACTAAATTAATAGGTCATGTAAAACATAAAGCAAGAATTCGATACAATGGTATCGGTGATGTTGATGCACTTTATTTAATTTGTAAATTTGTCGATCTAACTGCAAACGCACTTGGTACTATATGGATAACTGGTACAATGGAATGTGCTATAATAGCAGAGGGTATAAGTATTGTACGATACAATTGTTCGAATATAAATCATATTCAATCAATTGATTTAGCTCAAATAATTTCTATTTAATTTTTTATCCGTATTTTTATTTTCTTGTAATATCATTATTTTAAGTGTTTGTTTCATATGACTCATGGGATTAACTTTTATTTCGATCAAGTGAAGAAAATTAGAAAATATATGCGATATAAAATCTTATACTTACCTATAGACAAATACTTTAAGATTGGTTATCTTAATCGAAAATTTATTTTATGATATTTATTATTATTCAATGGCACAAAAATAAAAAAAGAGATTGTACGTCAATGAAAAACTTGTATTTTATCGTTGTAATAAAAAAATAATATGAATAATACATCTGCAGAATTTATTCGTGTTTATATTATTTCTCGTTATTTTTATTTAATTATTTTTGTTATTGGTATGTTGGGTAATATATTTAATTTAGTTGTTTTTTGCCGAAAAAAATTTCGTTCAAATTCATGTTCTTTATATTTTATTGCTTATTCAATTAATAATTTTATGAATTTAACAATTGGTTTATTACTTTGGTCATTAACTCTTGGTTTTCATTACGATTGGGAATATAAAATATTGATTTATTGTAAAATTCGTCGATATTTTACACATGTCAATTTTCTTCTATCATCCTGTTTATTAACAATGGCATCAATAAATCGTTATGCACGTGTACGTCAAGCTCAATTAACAGAAAATCGTGATAAATATATATTATTTTGTAAACGTCGAACAACCTATATTATTATAATTTCAATAATTATCTTTTGTCTAATTGCTAATATACATATACCAATATTTTTTGAACTTCATCATGGTGCATGTTATGCACGTGATGGTACTTATCATCTTTTATTTGATATTTTTTTTCTTATTTTCTATGCAATCTTACCACCGTTATCCATGATTATAATTAATATAGTAACTGTTATACAAATTAGACGTATTAAAAGATTAGTTCATCCAACCGTATCACGTCGTGAATATCATCTTATTCTTCTTGTTATTACACATAGTGTTTCCAATGCCATTTTTACATTACCATTTACAATTAATAAATTTATCTATTATATGTGTAAGAATAGAATTACAGAAGAAAATAATCAACTTGCTTTTACAATAACATTATTAATTGCATTTATGAATCCGGGTTTATCATTTTTTCTATATACATTAACAACACCATCTTTTCGAGATGAATTTATTCGAGCTTGTAGAGATGTTTTGAAAAAAATAAAGTTATATCTTAGCCATAGAAATGCAATTAATAATCAAACACAACAACCTATTAGAGATGATTCCATTTTTTCATTATCGATGGTATCACAAAGGATAAACTCAACATCATCAGTATCATCAGACCAAAGTTAATTGTTTTTTATATATTTTTTCCTCTCTACAGTTAGATATTATATTATTTACACAATTTATATTTCTTTTATTAATAAATGATTAAAAATCAACGTACTATTTATTGATAATAATTATCCTCTCTCTCAAGGATATTCAACGATTAAGAGTGACTGGAATGCATACTGTGTATTTATATGTGTTCTATACTGAGAATTAGATCATCTTCTTCAGCATTTAGGTATCCCATGGAGGACGATCCAATCGTTTATTAAAATAGAATCTATAAACATTATATGATGCAATTGTTTGAATATAAATCATACTCAATTGACCCATTTAGCTAAAATAATTTCTATACGAGTATTATACATGTTTCCGTAGAATGATATACTTACCTTTGTAATTGATTCCATTGTAAGACTTAAGGAATGAATAAATATTAGATAACTATGCGTCATTTTAACTGCCTATATTATTTGAAGCGGCTGACGGAAGTCTACTCAAATAATTCTCATCGCATGTTGTTTCTCTAGATATATAATGTAATCTGATTCAGCTGTACAATCTTATAGAAACCCATAGGAATGTATCGAATTTCTATGGCATCCTGTCGGATTTTTGTTAAGATGCTTATGATAAAACGTTTACGAAGCTCTCTAAGGTCGAATATTATTAAATTTCTCATTATGATAAATTCTATGAATAATTGAATTACTCGAGAGCTTCTCAAAAGAGATACTTTACTAAATTAAATATATTTATTTCTTCTGAAGAATATACTGATGATGACGTAAAAAAATACAGTATTTACAATTAACTGTTGAGAAAGTGTTAAAGAAAACATTTTATTACATGATCATATTTATCTTTCCGCATTACACTCGAATCTATACTATCACTCATACATCTTCCCATTAATTATATACTAGATTATCATCCAATTCCTTGAGAAATTCTACAAACATTTTTTCAAAATCAATAAAAAATCGATTACCTTCGGATATTTCTAATTGTTTTCAATACTCCATAGATTGATAATACCATAAGTTCGTTATTATTGTGTTTATATATAATTTTTTTCCTATTTATCAATAAATGATAGAAAAACCATGTTGTTATGTTGAAAAATATGTTAGCCAATAATTTGTTATGTCTGTCCTAAAAAACGATAATCGAATGAGAACATAAAGAATATTTATTGATTCAGTTATCCCTTCTAAAATATTTGCAACCATCAATAATAAATAGAATGTATTTTCATAAATACATCTATATATCATATATAGTAGTATGGTATATCTCATTCTATTTCTTTCCGAACACATAGACATCTCTAAATGTATGTACTAACGCACTAGAAAACATTGAAGTATAATTTGCTTGGATTACAAACTATCATCATGCAGATCATACTGAGTAGTCAAGGCGTTCTTTCATTCAATTATATAAGACGTACGACGAGAGATCCTTGAATGTTATATAAACTATTCTATAGACTTTCATATGTCACATTAAATTAATGATGATTCTTTAGTGATGACGTAGAAAGAAAGAAACAATCGCTGGCGAAGTAAGTGAACCAAACATTGTAATAGATGTCAAATAAAGATTTTAGTACAGATGGTATTAATTATCCATCTAACTTTGACAAGACAGTTAGAGATATTATTGATAGCACGAGTCAAAATCATTACACTGATGAGCTATTGTATATATATGATATTTTCTTATTATTCAGATAACATAGTCTTATTATATCAATGAACGAAAGTTCAACATGTCATATTTCGAAATAATCCTTTTAAATTGATATATACATACGTATGGTTTTTTTCCCTCCCTTTTCCTATTTGTTTGATAGTACGATTTATATGTCAAGATCAGCGTAAATAATGAAGAGATACGATATACCATGCAGACATATCTCAATGTTATATCTATTGTTCGGTTAGTATGAGACTAGAAAATCTCAAAGTAATTACATTTTCTTCTACTATAGATTTTAACCATAATTTTTATTTATTGATTATGCTATTTAATTTAGTCATTCATATTCTTATATCATTTCTATTTATTTATTGTGACATTGTACTTTAGTTCTATGTTTATACTCGATTTTGTTTTATATGACAAGGTTAATACACATGTAAATATCACAGTTTAAGGTATTCTTTCAACTATATATATATATAGTTATATGACCTTTGTTTTGTTAATAGCCATTAAATAGATTTTGTTTGAAACATTACAGTTTAATAATATAATGAATAAGTAAATAGTATTTCTAATTTATAATAATGATGATAAAGAAATAGACCATCCTACTAAGACTTCCTATTTCTCTTATCGAAGGTCATAGGCTCGGAGTTATTCTTTTTTTTAAGCATGATTGCAAATTGTGTTATTGAATACTATAGATATCTTTGTTACTTCCCTAAATTGATAGGAATACATAGACAGAAAAGTCTGATAACTAATAGAAAAATCATATTTCATAGTATGAGATATTTCTCAGTTGATCGACTGTTTTTCTTCTCAGCACTTATAACGATGGAATCAGACAGTCAGTCAGTAAGTAAGACTAAACATTCTAAGATAACAGCTGACTGCTTTTCGGCGACCTCTAATATTATTTCTTACAAGAAACAGTAGAATCTAATTGATATCCAATATGTTACTAATATTTCTTGTTTTTTCTTAATAAAAATTAATTTCTTATAGTTTTCATATAATTATTCAACAGATGTCACTATTAGTTTGATATGATTTCCAGTTCTTTTTTTTTCTCTTTTATATAGATCTAGCCTATTTATTCTTTGAAACTAAATCTAGTAAATTCTTTACAGAACTGGAAAAACATATTTTATGATTGGTAGATATTTTATGACAATGTATTGATAAGAAGCATATGCAATAGAATCGAAACTAGCCTATATTTATAGTATTCTATCGAGATATACTTATTTATTCTTTTATATAAAAATGAATATCATTTCTTTAAACTGAATTCCTACTCACTATCATTGAACATATTCAAATGAGGAAGTTTTTTTTCTTCTTCTTCTCTTTTCGTACATATGAAATCGAAAGCTTAATTTTAATCTGAGTTATAAAAGGATAGATTTGATTATAGCTTTCTTTTCAACTCGTATGTTTTAAGTAATCTTAATCGAATGGATCTATTCTTCTTTTAAAAAAATATTTTCTTCCTTCTTCTCCTTCAGTAGTTCTTTTATATTATTTTTCTTCTTCTTCTTTTTATTTTTAAGCGACTAGACAATAGTACACTGTTGATTTAACAACTACAGATGTGATTTGTTCAAATATTAATCGATATAATGCTGAATTTTTATAACAAAAAAACCGACTGGTGACACTTTTCATGTCTTTTTCTTTACTCGCTAATCATATATGCATCATCTGCTAACTAAATGGAAGTCAAGTATCATTGCAGATTCAAGTGAATTCTTTCTTTTTTTTTAGATTCGAACAGATGCAATCGATGAGAATGATGTAATTAGATCGTCATTTGTACATTCTTTTGCTTTTTTTCTCTCTCTCTCTCCTCGAATAATGTTCCCGTCCATTATTTTAACCTTCATCTTATGTTTCACATTATTTTCAACAACAATTTCATCGAAATCAATTGTAATTGAAGTAAAAGGTGATTGTGAAACAGTTGGTGGAAGAATTGCACATGAACATGGATATCGATATGTTCGACAAGTATGTTTTCGTTTAATTTGTTTTCTTTTCTTTTCTCAAATAGAACTAAAAATAAATCATAGATTTTTGATGGATTTTGTGAAATTGAAGAAGATCCATTATCTGTTAATCATCGACGACATCGACGAGCTATTCAACAAGGATTCAATCCAGCTGATATTATTTCAAAAGATGAAGATGTAATGATAGAAAGAAATACATATGTTGTAATTAAGGAATTTCAATTTTATTTCTAGGTTGAATGGGCTGAATATCAAATACCAAAAACACGTAGAAAACGTGAATTTCTTTTTAATGATCCACAATGGAATTCAATGTGGTATTTGGTATGAAGATATTTATTTTCTATTAATTTTTCTTATTTTTCAATAAATTGTTTAGATAAGACATTCTCAGACACCCCATTTACCTGATTTAAATGTAACAGGAGCTTGGGAAATGGGCTATACAGGTCGTGGACAAGTTGTAACATTTCTTGATGATGGTTTAGAATATGATCATCCAGATTTACAAGAGAATTATGTTTGTCTAACTGAAGATTTTATTTGAAGAAAAATAAATCTTTGATTTTTCTTATTGTTTATAGGACAAAGATGCTAGTACAGATATTAATGGTAATGATGATGATCCAACACCACGTTATGAAGTGACAAATGAGAATAAGTAAACTATAATTTTAAACTAAAACAAAGAGATATCTTTGTTTTTTTTTTGTAGACATGGAACACGATGTGCTGGTGAAGTAGCAGCAAAAGTTAATAATAATATATGTGGAGTTGGTATTGCTTATCATGCTAGAGTTGGTGGTATTCGAATGTTAGATGGTGATGTAACAGATAGTGTTGAAGCACGATCACTTAGTCATCGACCAGATCATATTGGTATTTATTCTGCTAGTTGGTAAAGATATTTTTATAAAATAAAATAAGATCATATTTTATTATCGTGTATATAGGGGACCTGATGATAATGGTCTTGTTGTTGATGGACCTGGTCGTTTAGCAAAGAAAGCATTTGAAAATGGTGCTTTACATGTAAATGACTTAATCTTTGATTATTTGAATTATATATTCAATTTAATATTTAGGGACGTGATGGTAAAGGATCTATTTTTGTTTGGGCAAGTGGTAATGGTGGACGTCAATCTGATTCATGTGCTTGTGATGGTTATATAACTTCAATATATACTGTAACATAATAATAAAAAATTGAAAATAAATATTTCACTAATCATTCTTTTTAATTTAGATTGCTATTAGTGCTACAACCGAACATGGTGATAAACCATGGTATCTTGAAGAATGTTCAGCTACTCTTGCATCAGCTTATAGTAGTGGTCAATCAAGTAATGGTGAACGAGACATTGTACGTATTTTTTTTTATTTAAAATTATTTTATATATTTATTTTAATTTTAAAGTATACTACTGATTTAAATCATGCTTGTACAGCTCATCACACAGGTACATCAGCTGCAGCACCATTAGCTGCTGCTATTTATGCTCTTGTCCTTGAGGCAAAGTAATTATTAAATTGACAGCTATCTTTTTTCTTTGTTTATAATTGTCTACAATTATATTTAGTCCTGACTTAACTTGGCGTGATATAATGCATATAACAGTTCTTGGTTCACGTCCAGATGCAATTCCATCGAATAATAATATTGTTCGAAATGCTGCTGGTCTTAGTGGTAAAAATTATTTGTTTTGAATTTCATTTATTTATTTTTTGTTTTTAGTAAGTAATAGATTTGGTTTTGGTTTAATGGATGCTGGTTTAATGACATGGTATGCAAGTGGATGGAAAAATGTTCCATCAATGTCAACATGTGAATCAGTAACAGATAATCCAAAACGAGTCATACCATCACGTTCAAATGAAATATTCTCATTGAATCTAATGGAATGTAAAGATGATATTGATCCAACACATGAAGTTAATTATATTGAACAAGTACAAATTTTCGTTACTCTATTAACTGATAGACGTGGTGAAATTGAACTATTTCTCTATTCACCATCTAATACAAGAACACAAATATTACCCGTAAAATTTATATAATTAAAATAAAAATATGCAATGAATTCTTTTTTCTTGTTTAGAAACGAGAACGTGATATGAGTAATAAAGGTTTTCAAGATTGGCCATTTTTAACCGTACAATTATGGGGTGAAGTACCACACGGACAATGGAAACTTCAAGTAGTTAATACTGGCGGAGGTTCAGGTAAATAACAATCTAAATTTTTAATATGATTAAAAATTAATAGTCACGATTCATTAATAATTTATTTTTCTTTCAGCAACATTAATAACTTGGAAATTACTCGTTCATGGTACTCGTGAATATCCAATTTCACCACGTTCTGAAACCAAACAATTAACATTCGGATCTGATCGACCTAGTGTAAGTCTCTATCCATCGTCATATTTCGATTCTTCATCTCAAACTCTATTTTCTTTTCAATGTTTATTCATAATTGTTTTTCTATTTCACGTAATTTTCTAGTGGAGAATGTGATAGTAGTTCTCATTTTCGTTTGTTGTTTTATTTTTCACAATTTAATTCTTTCTGTTTTTGTTTTCTATAAGTACGAGTTTAATCTCATAAGTGTCCTCTTTAACAAAAAAGACAAAAATTAATGATTTTGTATTTTGGACGGTGCTCCTTCTCTTCTTCTAGCGTCTTCCTAAACGTTTTCGTACAAATGATTCTGATCAATGGTGGCTACGACAAAAACCTACACAAACCTATCAACCAACTTTTTCAAAATTATCAAACTATCAAAGACCGTATCATTATTATTCTAATCCATTTTTAAGATTTATTCAACAATGGTTTTTAAGAACGTAGTTACTTCTTCTTTTTTTTATATACATTCCAGATTGTTTTTATTTTTATTATTTCAACAGTAACATCTCAGGTTTTCATTACTAAAAGAATACAATTGTTGTTGCTATAACCTCTCTCTTCGTTTTTTTTTTATATATATTAAACAGTATGCGTGATTAAATTCTCTTTCTCTTTCACGATTTTTTTTTCATTACTGTTTTCTACTTCTAATAAAGTGAACAGTTGTATCTTTATATAAGATTTAAAGAAAAAGTTTTAAAAAAAATATCTAATTACATACCTAAATATTGTTTAGAAAGCGATACGAAAAGCCAAAGAGGTAATGGAAAGAAAGAATTAATGTCTAAAGCACGATCTGTCAGTTATTGTTGTTTGTCTATTTGTTCTACAGTATTTTTATACATCACGATATCGTCATGTTATTAACTATAATAAGTGTTAAGTCAAGATCGCTATAGTTAGACTTCAGCTTGTCTTCGACTGTGCTAACTCGCGCTACTAATAATTGTGCTTTGTTTTTTTTTTTTTATAAATATAGCTCTCGTGGGGTTTAACTAAATTATTGATTTTAATTTTTGTAATTATTAAATTTCGTATATTTTAGTGTCATATTGAATGTAATCCTGATAAACCATGTGGTAACACTGATACAAACTGTACGTCATGTCGTCATCTAAAACAACCATTGTCTGATGGAAAATTGTAAGTTAATAAATAGAGAAAATTATTTTTATTGTTTTAAATTTCTTTTTATTAGTCGTTGTGTTGGTATTTGTCCTGAAGGAACTTATACAAATGAAGAAGATAAATTATGTTTACCATGTCATTCTCAATGTGGTTCATGTCGAAATGCAAGTGAATATAGTTGTATTAGTTGTAAAACAGATTTCTTTCTTATACATGATACTATGACTTGTGTTGAATCATGTCCTGAACAATATTATACAGGTATATATTTGAATTATAGAAAATAAAAAAAAGGAATTTATTATTTTTTCATTAATAAGATAATCATCTTCGAAAATGTATTCATTGTAAAAATGATTGTGCATCATGTGATACAAGTTCACAAATATGTACATCGTGTCCTGATGGTTATGCACTTAAAGATACAGATTGTATTAAAGCATCAAAAAAATGTCAATCAAATGAATATTTTAGTTTTACTGAAAATGAGTAAGAAAGTTTCTTTTAAAACAAATGTTAATCTTATTGTTTTAATGATAGTTGTCGATGGTGTGATTCAAGATGTTTAACATGTAGTGGGTCACGATCTGATCAATGTAAATCATGTGATAAAACAAGCAAATATCCATATCTTCAATATCGTACATGTGTATCATCATGTTCAACAGGATTTTATTTTTCAAAAAATTTATTTCAATGTCTTCCATGTCATGAAACATGTTTAAATTGTACATCATCAAGTGAATCATCTTGTACATCTTGTAAAATTGGTTATGTTTTTCTTTCTGATAATCATCGTTGTGAAAAACATACTGGTAAACCATATTATCTTGATGTAAATACAGGTGAAACACATACATGTCATGGCTCATGTACACAATGTAAAGGACCTAAACCAAATGATTGTATTGCATGTAATTCAATGAATGAAGTACTTCTTGATGATGGACATTGTGTTAATCAATGTCCATCAAGTTTCTATAAAAGTCAAAAACAAACAATGGATTATCAGACGAATGTATGTTTACCATGTTCAATTGGATGTAAAAAATGTAATAATATAAGTCAATGTTATCAATGTGATGAATCTAAAGGATATAAATTAATAAATTCAGTTTGTGTACCAAATTGTAAACCACGGTAAAAGATTTTTTATGAGAAAAATGAATATTAGTTTCGGTTTTTTTTAATAGGACATTTTTATCTGATGATCGTTGTGAATCATGTCAAAATCCATGTATAACATGTATGAATTTAACAAGTTGTTTAACATGTGTTGATCAATTTCTTTTATTAAATGATCAATGTGTAGAAGAATGTCCGGAAGGTTATTATTTATATGATCAACAATGTTTACAATGTCATCCGATTTGTAAT